CCAGAGCCTCCGGGGCCCTCGGGGCGCGCTGAGGCAGCCGGGCTGCTCGGGGACGGCGGCCCCCCCGCGCCTGCAGCTGCTGCGCTAACGCACAAAGGCAGGATTTCCAGTGAGGAGGAGAATGGGAGCCTGGCTGCAGCATCTCCTTCGCCGCTACAGCAGCAGAGTGGAAGAAGCGGAGAGTTTTGCTCCCTGGAAAACTGGATTCTGAATCGTGAGAGGCTTTGAACTCCACCCCCCCAATAAAAAAAACAAAAAAACACAAAAACACACAAAAAAACCCAAACCCTTTGACTTCTTCTCTCAGCAGGAGGGGGAGGGAGGGCGGATTTACCATGAAGACAAATCGAAGATGCAGAGCCCTGCTAGCAGTGAGTCTGAATCTGATGGCTCTCCTCTTCTCTACGACAGCTTTTATCACGACCCACTGGTGCGAGGGCACACAGAGGGTCCCCAAGCCGAGCTGCGGGAAAGAGAAGAAGACGAACTGCCTCAACTACAGTGGCAATGAGACTGCCAATGAGACAAACCAGAACGTGGTTCACTACAGCTGGGAGACGGGAGATGACCGCTTCCTCTTCAGGTATTTCCACACCGGAATCTGGTACTCCTGTGAGGAAAATATCAATGCTGCCGGTGAGTGTAAAACAACTTACTTCCAGCTTGCATTGCTTTCTGTTCGGTTTATTGCAATAAACACTCAGGCGAGTGGCTGTGTCCTGTATCACAGAGCAGACTCAGCCTGCAGAGAGGCAGAATTTTAGCAATTCTTTGTGCAAAAGCAACCTGTTTCCAACAGGAGCAGAGATCTGCCTGTTCACCTGGTGCAGAGTCTGTGCTCAGCCGAACCTCAGCCAAGCAATATGGGCTACCCGGCACTGCCGCTGCAGCCAGAGACAGTTCAGTGCTTTTCTTTGGGAACTGCTCCATGGAGCACACAAAAGATAGGGGCTGTTAGTTTTTATGGAGGTGCTAGTAGCCGACCAAGCTAATTATAATTGCCCCTTAAATAACACAGGGCACAGCACTGTAACTAATAGAGAAAGCATAAAGTTCACAGTCTGTAGCCCAGACCTCCTCTTTTCTTGCATTCCTTAAGGAAATGACTACCCACCGCCCCCTCCTTGTGCCTAACTGCTCTGTTTACTGAAGTGGGGGAGAGAAATGGCAGTTAAAAGGGCAGGACTGAGCACAAGAAAGCCCATTTTTGTTCCCTGCTCAGCCATTTACTTGCTGTGAGCTGCCAGAGAAGGCATCTCTCCAGCGTATCAGCGCGTCGCTGTATGCTGGCACCTACCAGCACACAAACCGCTGGAGGATGCAGGGTGGCCGGGACTGCTCCAAGGCTCGGCAGATGCACACTGACAGTCCTACCCCAAGCTGCCTGATAGCCCCAGTGTCCCAGCTCTACTTCAAATGAGCTTTTTTCCCTAGATTATGTGGTTAGAAAATGAAGTTTACAGACACGATACAGTACGACAGGGACACTGATGGCTGGCATAGTGCTGGAACAGTGACAGGAACAGCCAGTGCTGGGCTGTTTCTGTGTTACCTTGTCTGCATTCAAGGAGTAAGTCGTAGAACTGGTCCTTCAGCACTCCTCATGAAAGGAGAGGAATAGTCCTATGGATCGCATCTCTAGGACAGTATATCAGGAAACAACAAAGGCCTGTGTTGCCCTGAACTGAGCAAAAATTATTGCCCCAAAACAGCATTGAAAAGGATGTGCCAGTCTGGTGAAGGTAGAATCATTTCTGTCTCTGCAGCAGGCTTCTTGATACCGATAAGGGGAAATTTATGGGATTCAGGCAAAATTGCTCTATAAAAATGTACTATGAAGTGGGGCAAACTTGACTAGCAGCTCACAGTCCATTTCATCCCAAGGTGCTGTGTATCTCCCTGGGTATTTTGGAGGCTAGTGCTTCAAAAATTAGGTGGTCATTACAACAGGAATGTTCATGAACTCCAAGCTTGCCACTGTCAATAAACACCCCCATAGAGAAATATGTGCAGCGAAGCAACCTTCTTGATGTTAAAAAGTTCAGAAAAAAGATAGTTTGTCTTACTGATTTGAAAATGAGTCCAGGCCACACCTGCCCAAAAGAGCAACTTAGCTTTTTTGCACTTTTTGAGAGTTTTCTCTGAGGTAGAGAAAACATACTCACGTTCCTGGACGACACTGCAAGGTTTCCAAGCCGAGCTTTATGTCTCGGCTACTTTGTAACAGTGTGACTAATCCAGTCTGAATCCTGAAGTCTCTGTGGGAGAAGAAAATTACATTGATTTAATCCATGGTAAACCAAGCACTTCTGTAGTGGGTGATTCTAGGGGAAAGCTGAAAGCCAGATCTCGAAAGTTATGGTGAAAGCAGCAGAAAGCACAGCAGCACAGCAGCCACCTGTGTGCCTGCTCGTATTTATGCTTATTTACTTGGTGAAAGGACCTGTTCGATTAGCCAGCTAGGAGCAACCAGCCATTAGACAGAATCCAGACAGGGACAGAATGCTGCCTTGCTCAGGATTTATCATATCTTCTCTGGTAAGGACAAGAATGATATAACAAAGTCTTAATAAACATCAGCATGAAATGGCCATGCAAAGTCTTCACCTGGACTGACTGGTTGGTAATGCCAGACTGTCTATATGATCATGGCTTTTTGCAGCCGGATCGATTTATCTGAGGTGCAGGGCAGCAAGTCACCGGCCAGCTGCAATCCAACAGCTTTCCTGCCATGCATACAAGCCCCAGGCTCCTCACAGCAGCTGGTCACCAATCCCAGGGGCTCGCTGTGCTGCCCACAGCCCAGTTACTGCCCACCGACCTGCATCACACGTTGCACAGTGCCTAGGGTGTCACGGGCATGTCAAGAAACCAGCACTAACCACACACATGGAGAGCAGGGTGTTAACCAAATCACCAGCAAAACTGTACTCCGTAAGGTCAATAGCACCTTTCCTGCAGCTTTATCAAAGGCATACTGAAAATGGCCACAGCATAGGAGATTTAGCCTCAATACCATCATTAAATGCTCTGTTTGCTTATGATGCTCTCAGCCACTCGCTCCGTAGCGCTTCGGCATCATCACAACATCCTTCCTCAGCTCTCTGTGCTCTCAGTGATACACAAAAGACAGTCACATAGTCCATGTACCAATCACACCTACTTGTTGTATGTAGCCTAAGTGCTATTCTTAATAAACTTGCCATGCTGCGGACACTGTGCTCCAGGCTCTTGAATCCTGCTTGTCCTGTGTGTTGATACCCTATATGCCTTACACATAGCAGCATTCTAAGCAGTCTGCACATATTAAAACACTCCTCTTTTAACCCTCATCTGATGCCAAAAACCTGCATGCAGCCAGTTGCTGCATCCTTTCAGTAACTGCTCTATAGTTGACAATCATCTGGTGCCCTATGGTTCCTTCCTCACCACAGATAGCTGAAGACAGGCAATATGAATCCCACCTGCAATGCCACTAACAGTCTGTGTCCCTGTGGGCTCACAAAGCCCTCCAGGGACTCTCAGCCTTCCCAGCTCCAAGCTACATTCTTCCTATATCCACCAGACTTTTGATTTTCCTCTCCCTATGGTTGGGGGCACTGTCCAGAGCTCCCTGCTCTGCACTGGAGATGCTGAAGAGCAGAACTTGTGGTGTGGAGACAGCAGGACCAGTCCTGACAGCAAAAGGAGGACAATATTTCCAGAATTCCAACCAGCTGGAAAGGCTGGGCCCCACCTTAAAATGTCATTTATGCTACAATGGAAAAAAAAAAAAAAGTTTGAGTGTCATCACCTCCTACTGATTATCTGAAATGTCCATTTAGATTCTGGATGTAGTGGTGTAATAATCGCATCATACATGTAAAATGGGCCTTCTATTTGCTGAGGGATTCTAGGTATCACTGTGACATCTCTTACAGAGCCTGAATGAGAAGAAGTGCTCTTGTGATTATTTGGTGAATCTAAAATTTATTTTTATCCACTAAGTCTAAGGCTGGTAATGAAGATGAAAAGCATTTGTCCCTTGTGAAATATGACTGCAAATCCCCTCTGGGAAAAGAGGGACTTGAGCAGATACAGGGTCCACCCACCAGTAGAATATAACTGTGTAGCCAAAAAAAATCTCGACTCAGGATTGCTGAATCCCAGTCTAGTAAAAAGAGGATAAAGGCTCTCTCTTTCAGAGCAGGGTCAGTGCTTTGGATCCCATATGGAGCGTAAGAGCAATGATAGAAGTCTAGTCTCTCGGAGGGGATAAAGCTAACACGTACCCAAGAGCTCTGTAGCTCTGCCAGTCACAAGTCCCATTCTGCACTTAAGAGCATCACTGGGCACACGGTGCCTGGTTCCAGCTCCTGAATTCCGTGGCTATGGCCTGCTGCCTCCAACACGAGCCCTCTATCACCTCATTCCTTTCTGAGCATGGTCGCTAGCGCGTGTCTCACTTGCAACCTGCAGACTAGGTCTGTGTTGTGTCCATCCTGGACATAGAGCACCAGACGGGTGATGTGCTAATAACAGCAGGACAGGAGTGATCCACTAGTAAAGTAGCTTGTATATGTTGTGACTCATGAACATACATGACATGAGAAAATTCAAGCAGTTGTTATGGATATAGAATGCCATATACAAACAGAAGAGTTTGAGAGTTGGGAAAGGTAACAGCACATTAGCAGATTTTGCTTATTGAGTGTTTACTTTGATTTCTAATAGAGGAGAACACTCATGCTAACTCATGTCTTGTTTTAATTCCTAATGAAGAAACAATCTCATACCTGGCATATTGTGGGCAGTTCTGGGTTCCCCAGTATAAGAGGGATGTGGAACTTTTAAAGAGGGTCCAGCATAGAGCGACCAAGATGATTAAGAGACTGGAGCATCTATCTTATGAGGAAAGACTAAGCGAGCTAGGCCTGTTTAGTCTAGAGAAGAGAAGACTGAGAGGAGATCTGATCAATATGTATAAATACCTGAGGGGAGAATGTAGGGAGGATAGGGCCAAACTCTTCTCGGTGGTGGCCAGTGACAGGACAACGGGTAAAGGGTACACAAACTGAAACACAGGAAGTTCCATCTCCATGTGAGGAAGAACTTCTTTCCTGTGAGGGTGACAGAGCCCCTGGCACAGGCTGCCCAGAGAGGTTGTGGAGTCTCCTTCTCTGGAGATCTTCAAACCTGCCTGGATGCCCCATGGTCTGGGTGTCCCTGCTGGAGTAGGGGGGTTAGACTAGATGATCTCGAGAGGTCCCTTCCAACCTCAACCATTCGGTGATTCTACATAATCTCAGTAATAACTTCCATATTCAGAGCGAAAAATGGTAAAAGAGAAACAGGTGTCTAGGTGCTATTTAACAATACTATCCCCTTAAATGAACCACACAGCTCACCATGCTCCACATTTAAGAAGTGAGGGATATCCAGAATGAGTATACACCTAGGCTTGTTTTGCTTACTTGAACTGTGTTTTTAGGACAAGGGGGCTGTAACTTTTTGCATTCTCTTTATAATATATTCCTTAGCACTCTTTAAAGAGTAAATGGTAGAGTGGAATTTACATGCAAAGCAAGGAGGCATCAAAGCTGGGTATAAGTATTGATTTTAAATGCTCATTTGCAGTAGGAGCTGGAGAACAAGAG